GTCTAGCGGGAGGGAGGCGTCTTCGCGGCTTCCTGGCCCGGGTTGGGGGACGGCCCTGTCCGCTTGTCCGCCCCGGCCACCGCGCACGGCGAGCGTGGGGTGAGCTGCGCTCTGCACCGCACCGGCCCAGCCCCGCCCCGGTTTAGGGCGCTCAAACCCCTCTCCCAGCCCGGGCCGAGGGGAGGGAGACTGAGGCACAGACGTGGGGTGAAGGATTGCTCCCCGGGGATCCTCGCCCGGGGTGGTTCCTGGGGCAGGTATGCCGGCTCCCAGGCATCCTTAGCTGCGAGGCTGGCTGGGCCGGCTGCGCTCACGTCCACCCAGGATCACGGGCTGGCGCGTGGCCCAGTGTCCGGCGCGGCCCCAGGTTATGGCCTCGGAGATCTGCGGAAAAAGCCCGAGCCCGCGGCCCTGCCTTCACTTTCCACCTGGTCCCCACCGCCCGCATCTGTCCCCGCACCCCTCCCCTCACCTGCGGGACTTTGGAACCTGTCTCCTGGGTATTTAATTTTTACCTAAGTGCTTAAGTTTTATTTCTTTGCTACCGGCGTGAACTTTGGATGGGAGGGGGGTGTGGGATGGACCCCCACTGTGCCCCTGCTTGCTGCGCAGTCCCTAGGTGGAGGGGCCAGCAGGACTAGCAGAAGCGATGGCCCGGCACAGCAGGAGCTGGCACCTGTGGGCAGTGGTCTCAGGCCTAGGCTCTGCCTTGACCTTGTGCAAGCCAAGAGTTGGGGAAATGAGAACCAAAAAAGAGGTGTTGAGTTGTTCACAGCTGTGCTTTATTTAGGGAGACGACGCTGGGCCGGCCAGGCTGTGTATGGGTTGGAGGAGACACTCCTATGGAGAGCTGTGTCAGGCCTGAGTCTCCACATCTGTGGTGGTTGACCCCCCCCCTCCCTCTCCCACACGGACAAGCCCAGCTGCCACAAGGGGGCATGCCACACCCACAGGCTGGCTCGCATGCATCTGGATGACCCACCTCTGCCCGTCACTAAGGACTGTCCCCCCTCACCCGAGCCCCCACCACCTGGCAGCTGCATTTGCCCAGTCTGGGTGCATCTCCCTGGGTGACCACTGCTGCCCCGGTCAGGCATCCAGCTCCCACTCTGGATCCAGTTAGCCACAGTCTTCTCTGCTCAGAATCCTGAAGGGCCCCCCATCTCGCCCTGACATGGCCCCGAAGTTTCATCCCCACCCCATGTAACCTCGTCTCCCAGGACGTGCCTGTATTCAGTCCCAGGCTGCAGCTCAATTCCCATGAGCCCATCCCCACCTCGAGGCAGCGCAGGTCTGAAGAACTCAACACCTCTCTTCTGTTCCCCATCACATTTGTCCTGTCACTTGGCAGGTCTTAGATGTCATCTCCTCAGGGAGGTCCTCCTTCCCCGACCCTCTGCCCCCTTCACTCCATCACATCCCCTTCCCCGAACATCTGATGTGCTCTTAGAGATCCAGGCAGCTACCTGATGACACCTGTCCTCTCTTGGAATGTCACCTCTCCCCCAGGGTGACGGAGACGCAAAGGATTACTCAAAGCTCATTTCTTCTGAGCAGTGAGAGGCCCGAATAGTGTTAATTCCAGACAGATCCTTCAAGGGAAAAGAATTTTTGGAAACTAACCCCGAGTTGGGGTCTTCTCTCAGTGTTTATTGTCCAGGCAAGAACGTTACAGAAATGGAACATAGATGGATACAAAAGGAACAGTAAGGGCCGAGCCCGTGGCGCACTCAGGAGAGTGCGGTGCTGGGAGTGCAGCAGCGCTCCCGCCGCGGGCTCAGATCCTATATAGGGATGACCAGTGCGCTCACTGGCTGAGCGCGGTGTGGCCAGTCTCAAAAAGGACAAAAATAAATAAATAAATAAAAATAAAGGAACAGTAAGATATTTGTCATGGCAACACTTGGTCCCCCAAGAGACTTAAAGGAACTGAAGACTTTCCCATCACTAGGTTTAGCTGCAGCAAGGACATCTGCCCTTAGAGCCAGCGTTTGTGCTGTGTTACAATTCTTTATCTACAACAGAGACTTTAGCCCTGGGAAAGGTTTCCACAAGCGTAACCTTCCTATGTTAGGCCCTGTGAAGTTCATGTGCTTTGTCATGCTTTAGTAATGTTAGCATCCTCCACATTGGAACATGAGCCTTGTGGGAATTGGACACAGCCTGGGATGAGTGCAGGGTGGGGGAGGCTCCCTTCTCCCTTTCCTGCCCGTCCCTTTGCATCTGGGAGTGTGGAAGCGGGTACAGGGGGGACTGTTGGGCCAAATTAGGGGCCCTGGCCTCCAGGAGGTGCAGAGAGCCAGGGTAGAGCACACACCAGGTTCTGCCTGGCTGCTGCCCGTCAGCTGCCACTCCCGTCAGCTGTCTTCAAGATGCCCTGTCCTCCCCCACACTGTCCTGGTGTGCCTTTCCCAAAGGACCTGCTTATCCCCTGCCACCCTTGAGCCTCATGGCTGTTCTCAGCTCCCACCCCAAGTCTTCCATCTCCCGAAGGTTTATGGGTGGGAATTCCCAGTACAGACGCCAGCTGGTGCTAGGATGTGAATGACTGATAAGCTTTCAGTGTTGGTGTTTTCCAAGGGGAAGGGCCCATTGGGAAGCCTGGATCCGTGTCCTGTGTGGCACCTTTTGGGCTTCCTACCTGCTTGAATGTGGCCACAGTTCCAGCCTGGGTGCTGAGACACATCATCCGTTTCCTCCTGACACTGACTGTCCTTCCACAGGAAGTCGGCTGGGCAGGGTCTGACCTACAACTTCACCCACCTGGACGGGTACCTGGACCTTCTCAGGGAGAACCAGCTCCTTCCGGGTGAGCAGCCAGCTCTGTCCTTTCCGGACTGGTCTTGGTGCTGGCATGGGGGAGCCCAGGCAGGGCAGGGCATGGGTGTGGTGTGGTGGGTGGGCAGCCAGGCAGCCACTCCCATGTGTTGCAGGATTTGAGCTGATGGGCAGCCCCTCAGGACACTTCACCGACTTTGAGGACAAACAGCAGGTGTTTGAGTGGAAAGACCTGGTCTCTCTCCTGGCCAGGAGATACATTGGTGGGCAGGGCGCAGGCCCTGGGGACTAGGGTGGGTACTCCTGGGCAGACTGTCCTCTCCCCCAACCCCAGGCCACCTGGTGGGTCCTCTCTGTCATGGACCCCCCCCCCCCCCCCCCCCCCCCCCCCCCCCCCCCCGGCCTGGGCTTCCCGATGGGAGGGGGAGGCCAGCCAGCGTGGGAGAGGGCTCATCTGGAATCAGACACTCCCCGTGGTGTCCAAGCCCCCAGCTGTGGGCACCCGGCCCGCTCTAAGGGGTGGAGCCCACAAGCAACGGCAGGGACGCTCTGCAGGTAGGTACGGACTCGCGCACGTTTCCAAGTGGAACTTCGAGACGTGGAACGAGCCGGACCACCACGACTTTGACAACGTCTCCATGACCACACGAGGTGGGCAGGGCTCCCCGGGGTCCTGCCAACCTGACGTGGGGGGAGGGCGGGAGGGGAGCGTGGAGCCCAGTGTCCCTCGCGGCACCGGGCTGGATGCGGTCCCCCCGGCCCAGGTTTCCTGAACTACTACGACGCGTGCTCCGAGGGTCTGCGCGCTGCCAGCCCCTGCCTGCGGCTGGGAGGCCCTGGGGACTCCTTCCACGCCCCTCCGCGATCTCCGCTGTGTTGGAGTCTCCTGAGCCACTGTCACAACGGCACCAACTTCTTCACGGGGGAAGTGGGCGTGCGGCTGGACTACATCTCCCTGCACAAGAAGGTGCGGCCCCCCCTGCGCTGCCCCCGGGCAGTGGGCTCGGGAGCCAACCCTGGGTGCTGAGGCCGCGGCGCCCGCAGGGTGCGGGCAGCTCCATCTCCATCCTGGAGCAGGAGAAGGCGGCCGTGGGGCAGATACAGCAGCTCTTCCCCAAGTTCGCGGACACCCCCGTTTACAACGACGAGGCAGACCCGCTGGTGGGCTGGTCCCTGCCGCAGCGGTGGAGGGCCGACGTGACCTACGCGGCCATGGTCGTGAAGGTGGGCACGCTGCGCCCCCCGCGCGTCCTCCCTGCGGGACTTGCCTCCGGCGTGGCCGGGCGGGAGCGGTGGGGGCGGCGGCCGTGGTCCCAGCCTCCCCGCGCACCCGCAGGTCATCGCGCAGCACCAGAACCTGCTGGTCGCTGGCAGCGGCGCCCGTGTCCACTTCGCGCTGCTGAGCAACGACAACGCCTTCCTGAGCTACCACCCACACCCGTTCTCGCAGCGCACGCTCACCGCGCGCTTCCAGGTCAACAACACCCGCCCGCGCCACGTGCAGCTGCTGCGCAAGCCGGTGCTCACGGCCATGGGGCTGCTGGCCCTGCTCGGTGAGCGCTGCGCAGGGTCGGGCTGGAGGCGGAGGCGGAGGCCATGCTGTCCTGGCCCTCCGGGCTGGGGTGAGGACCTCAGTTGGGCAGGGTGAGCTCCCAGGTCCAGGACTAGCTTCTGCCAAGGGCCTGTGGCAGGGGGAGCAGGGACCTGCCTGGGGGGTGGGAGGAGAGCACCTCCAGCTGTGCCCACTGCTTGGTGTTTACCCTCCCCACCCCCACATGGTGACAGTCACCACCCACCCCCCTGTAGATGGGGAACAACTTTGGGCCGAGGTGTCGCGGGCCGGGACTGTGCTGGACAGCAACCACACGGTGGGCGTCCTGGCCAGCGCCCACCACCCCGAGGGCCCTGCTGATGCCTGGCGCGCCACGGTGCTGCTCTACGCAAGCGACGACACCCGCGCGCATGCCAACCGCAGCCTTGCCATGACACTGCAACTGCACAGGGTGCCCCCCGGCCCAGGTAGCAGGGAGGGGGTCCCAAGAAGGTCTCCGGCCCCGCGGGGGCTCTGAAGGGGCGGGCCTGGCGACGAGAGGCCACAGCGTCTGGCTCCACAGGGCTCGTCTATGTCACGCACTACCTGGACAACCGGCTCTGCAGCCCACACGGAGAGTGGCAGCGCTTGGGCCGGCCCGTCTTCCCCTCGGCCGAGCAGTTCCGGCGCATGCGCGCGGCAGAGGTTCGCGGGCCCCTGGGGTGCGGAGGAGGGTCACCAGCCCGGCCACCAGGGCCCTGAAGACCTGACATTGTCGCCAGGACCCGGTGGCCACGGCGCCACGCCCCTTCCCCGCCGGTGGCCGCCTGACCCTGCACCCGGAGCTCGCGTTGCCCTCGCTTCTGCTGGTGCACGTGTGCGCACGACCCGAGAAGCCACCCGGCCAGGCAAGTGGCAGCCCTTGACCCCCTCAGCTGCCTGGACTCGCTCCCCTCGACCTGTCACGCTCCTTCCTCCCCCAGGTCACCCGGCTCCGTACTCTGCCCCTGACCCGAGGGCAGCTGGTCCTGGTCTGGTCTGATGAACGCGTGGGCTCCAAGTGCGTGAGTGGGCCACTGCCCCACCCCTGCGCCCATCCTGCACATGCCCGTGGCCACCACCTCTTTCCAGCTGCAGTGCCCTGTGGTCACTTCACTGTGGCCGTCCGACTTCTCCTCTCCACACACTCTGCACGCACTGTGGCCCATGATCACTCTTCATCTGGTGGGGCGTGGGGGCACCTACAGGAGACATTTGAAGATGACTGCTGGGCTCCAGCTCTCTCTCCTCCACCAGTGTGGCCTGCCATGCTGCCCAGGGACACAGAGGGGTGCTGGAGGAGACAGGGCAGTGGGTCCTGCCCTGCCCACCATAGACCTTCGAGGGCCACCCTGACCCCACCCTTGACCCCAGTCTTGGCCCTGCCTCTGACCTCCCCAGGTGCCTGTGGACATATGAGATCCAGTTCTCCCAGGATGGTAAGGTGTACGCCCCAGTCAGCAGGAGGCCATCGACCTTCAACCTCTTTGTTTTCAGCCCAGGTGTGCTCACCGCCCACTGCCCTGGCCTTGGCCACCCCATTCCTGGGCTGCAGCGGGGTATCGGATGGCGTGGGGTCCAGGGCCTTGCAAAGCCTGAAGTGAGGGGCTTCGGGGACTTGACGGTGGGTTCAGGTGGGCACATGCTCAAGAGCACACTCGTGTCTTTGTGTCCCCAGAAACAGCTGTTGTCTCTGGCTCCTACCGGGTTCGAGCGCTGGACTACTGGGCCCGGCCAGGCCCCTTCTCAGACCCCACGCCATACCAGGAGGTGCCCACCCCGAGGGCCACCGGCACCCGGTGACCCCTGAACCTGTGCTGACTGATGCCCCTGAGCAGCCAAGAGCCAGGATGGGCTGGACTTCCACAGGCCGATCAGGCCGTGGGCTCCATTTGTTCCTGTCCCGCTCCCCACACACCTGTTAAAGTGTCTTTCCACACATCAGTTGTGCCGCCAGCTTCTGCAGAACAGCAGCAGGGGTAAAATGGAGGTGTGAGGACCCAGCCAGAGGGAGCCCCACCAACCTGGACAGGCACCTGTGGAGCCGCCGGAGGGAGCCGGGGCCACCACTCAGCACAGCTTGGTTCCCACTTGGAGCCAGCTAGCCCAGCTCTGCCTTGCCCGCCCAGGCGTCTCTGGCATCACCCCTGGGTTCTGCAGAGTGGGGAGCTGAGGTTGCATGAGGGGTGGGGGCCCTGCACCCCGCACAGGAGGGGCATCCTGCCTGGCACACACTAGCCAGCAGCAGCAAAGGCCACCAGCGTCCACCCCCATGGGCCTCCTGGCTCTGCATCTGGGTGAGGACAGTTCAGTGGCTGTTCGCAGAGATGTAGGTGGGGCAGGGGGTTGGGGACAGGTAGGGAAGCCACGGGGGTGCAGTACTGCTCCAGACGGAGAAAGGCTGCTTGGCCCGAAGCGGGACCTCTGCTCACGCACACGGCCAGCTGGAGGGGCCTCCCGTCTTCTCTCTGGAGCGCCCTCCCAGGGCTGTCCGTGGCACTCAGCAGAGGACTGAGGTACGGGAGCCCAGCACGCTTCCTCAGAGTGGGGGAGGAAACCTGGGCTGATCAGGCTCCTTCATACCTGCCCACCTCTGTTCAGGTGCGATCTTATGTCTCCCCCGTGCCACCAACCCACATGGGCCACCAAGTCCTGTGGCTGCCTTACCAAGGGAGAGAGATGTCAAAGTGACCATTCTTCCACCTGGACCCCAATGCCACCCCCCGCTCCCATCCCCTGTTCCCACCCACTCTCCCCATGTTGGCATCTTGGCATGTCTGCTGGGAGCCCTGGGTCAGTCAGGCACAGCGTCCTGCCCCTTGCGGAGCCACATGTCAGCCGGCTTGTGCTGCTGTAACAAATATCACAGAATCTGTCCTCTCATGGCTCTGGAGGCTGAGGTCTGAGACCGGTTGTCGGCAGGGCTGGTTCCTCCCAAGGCCTCTCTCCTTGGCTTGTAGGGGGCTGCCTTCTTGCTGTATCCTCACATGGTCATCCCTCTATGGCTGTCTGTGTCCAGATCTGCTCTTGTAAGGACACCAGTCAGATCAGGTCAAGGCCCACTCTCACGACCACGTTTTAACTTGGTTACCTCTGTAAAGACCCTGTCTCCAAACAAGAACGCATTCTGCAATACTGGGGTTTAGGTCTTTAGCACATGACGTTTGGGAGGACACAATTCAGCCCATAATAAGCAATGGCTGTTTCTCTGGTGATCGGGATCTGTCACCCGCAGCAAATAACCTCTTCTCACCTACCACCAGTTCAGTGGCCTGAGGACCGCGTTGGTCTGGGGCCACCTCAGCTTCTGGCTTAATGGGAGGGGGCTAGGTTTCCCATTGGACACCGTCCTTCCTTGGACACCAGGATCTTCATACCCTCCAAGTCCGAGTTGGGTGGGCGGGACAGAGACCCCACAGGAACCCTCCCCACATTCCTGGACCTGGGTGTTCTGACTTTTGGCAAAAACAGCTGCAACCACTGGAAGTTTCCCTTCAGCTGTGGATTTGTGGCCCGAGCCCACTGCCACCTGGAGGTGGGATGGCCTCCTTGGGGGGTGATGTGGCAGTCAGTGTGGGGAGTCCGCAGACAGTGGCACTGGCACCTGCAAAGCCGTGCTGTACTGTGTCTGCCTCTCCCCATGGGGCCCCGTCACTTCCACCACAACAGTGGCTCCAGAATCGTCAGCGAGCTGTTGTATCCCCACACCCTGGCCTTGCTGGCCCATTAACTTTGGCCTTTGCTGCAAGTGGGCAGGCCTTCAAGCTGTGCCAAGAGCCTGGGAAGTCAGTTCACATGGCCTCTGTCCCTGCCGCCATGGCCGTGTGTGCCTGAGCTGTGGAGTGGTCTCTGGGGTGTGACACTCCCATCTGAGAGCCTCCAGTGTGATAGATGCCCTCTGGGTGAACGTGGGTGTTTCAGTGGGACACAGTGCCCTCCTCCCCAGATCTTGTTCCCAAGCTTCCTGTCTTTTTTTGAGTCTGGCCAATGTTTTGGGTGCTGCCAGGTATAGAGCCAAGCCTGGGCTAGGTGTGCCACTTGGTCCTGTCCAACGGGAACAGGCCCCCTCCAGGTGGCGCCCTGCACACATACTTCCATAAGCCACCTCATCCTTCCCCATCCCTCTCCGCCACTGACAGGAAACCCATGGCCAAGCCCCAGGTGTGGCAGAGAGGGAGGCAGTTCAGAAGGAGCTCTGGGGCTCAAGCTTCCCGTCCATCGGGTTTGCTTCCTGACGCACGCCATGTGCCCTCAGTCTGCACTGGGCAGTGTAGTCGCTTGCTGCTGGAGGATGGCACCAGGCCTTCCCCAGGGCTCGGCCGCTGCCCTGAGCTGCTGTTCAGGTGGACAATTGGTTTTGACAGGAGGAAATGTCCTTCACTCGGGTGCCTGGGTCTGGGCTTGGTGGTGATTCTCTTTCTGGTACTTGCTGGAGGGCACGGTGTCCCTGCCAGGTGCTGCAGGCAATGCCGGGTCTGATGGGCTGTCCACCCAGGCAGTGGGGCAGCTCATGTCATGGCCTGCATCTGCTGCAGGGCCTTTTCGTGCCAGCATTACCTGTTGGGCAGGAAATGGGTCAGAGTGGGATGCTCACATGTGGTACATGGTGCACCCCAAACCCAGAGTCCCACCACGCACTGTGCCCTTGGGAGCGGGGGTGTGAGTATGATGACTTATCTCATTAAATAGGACATCCCGACGTTTCCCAGAGCCCTGGAGCCCTACAGGCTCCACTGGAGGCTTTCACTGGGCTTATCTTCCACTCTCCGGTAAGCATGTTCCTACTTAGGCTTCTCTCGCTCACCGAATCCAAGTGGTGCGATGAGTTCAAGGAAGTCAGGACTCCTCCAGACCGCGTCACGACAGTGGGAGAGCCGACATCCCACGGCAAACCAGAAAGGTAGGCTGATGTCCCTGTCACGCAAAGGCAAGCTGCATCTGATTTTCCTTCTTGCCAGCACTTGCAGCATGGTAGCTGCACGTCGGGTACCAGGGCTGGCAATTTTTCCAGTAAAGTTGCTTCATCTGGGTCTCAGCCGTGACTGGCATTGCCACCAGTTAAGTTGTGATAATCTGCCAACATTCGACACCCCCGGCAGGAACTGGAGAACGTGGCGAGCAGCCGCTCGGCAAACCTCTCAAGCTTTTGATGTTGGCACTGATTTCTGCAGTTTTCCAGAAAAGTGGTGGCATTTTGCTGCAGCATGGCAGGGAGTGGCAGGGCAGATGCATGGGCCCTCCCTCCTCAGGCCAAGGAACCAGTGTGGGGACCCTGCTGGTGGTTACGTGTCAGTGTCCCTGCTTTACATCCTGGGGGCTACAGAAATACCTGCATGAAGGATCTGCAAAGCCCTTGGACTCATGGAGCCAGCCCCGTCCCGTCTCTCACCAGATCTCCCTAAGCTCCCATTCTGATCAGTGGACCACGCCGGTCTTCAGGTGACGGGACTTGCAGCAGGTCAGAGCCGTTATCCAATAACCCCGAAGTCCACGTATCTCCCTCTTCCCAGGACAGAGTCACTTGGTCTGGGAAATGGCCGCAGGTCTCCCTTATGTGCTTGGGAGCATACATCAGTGACTGTGTTGGCAGGCTCTGTTTTGGGGGACCTGGCCTTCTCTGGGTCCGTGAAGTGGCTTTGGTCTGGGAACTGTCTCCCTGTGGCAGTTTGAGACATAGAAGTGCCCCTGACCTATGTCTCTGCTGGTGTGTGCTCCAGGCAGCGCTCCTGGCCTGCCTGTCTGTCGCTTCCCAGGACCTCATGTGCAATTGGTCATCTCATCATTGCCACAGACCCCTGAGGTGTGTCCTCCAGAAACGTGCCTGTGAGTCGCTGGGCCCGTAACGCACAGGTTCTACCTCGGTGCCTGCCCGGCGGGAAGAGGCTGAGAATGCACATTTCCCACAGGCTCCAGGGGCTGGTGCTGCTGGTGCTGCGGTGGTTGTCAGCAAATGTAGGCCAGGTCTAGTGACTGGTAACTGCCCCCAGGTGCTCAGGCCACTGCGTTAGACCCCAGCCCCATGACTGCCCCAGGTCAGTCAAGAGGCTGGCCTCCCAAATCCACGTTTCATGTTTTGTGTGATAATATCGATCCCTCTGTGACGCTTCCCAGGTGCCTGGCAACACAGATCACCACTTCCTCTGGCTGGATCCCCCTTGGTCTTGGCTGTGCGGGGATCTAATCTGGGGTAGAGGAATGGCAGGGTTGGGTCCTGAGCATAGTTGGAGCAGTTTATCAAGCAACTGCCCGGGCACAGACACAAACATAGCTTTTTCACATTGGGGGGGGGGGGGGGGACCAGCAGGGGGC